GGATAGAGAGAGAGAGAGAGAGAGAGAGAGAGAGAGAGAGAGAGAGAATTACAGAGAACCAAGAGGCCAGACAGAATCCCGCGCGTAAAGAGCCCCCCTCCTGCTTCCATCAGATATTCTGAGCCAACAGTGTTAAGGCGGTTCATTATGAACACTTTTCTCCCCCCGCCCTACATGGATGGCTGACCTCCCGGCTTTTACTTTGACTCCTCTCTGATTTCGGCTATCAGAAAATCAATATGGACCACGTTCCGACTATTTTTTTATATACCCCCCCCCCCTCCACCCCACCCTCTTTTGGGATCTTTTCCCCTACCGATTTTATTTTGCACTGTCGCTCATTCCACATCACGCGTACTTTCCATGTTCCGACCTCTATGCACTTTCAAACTCTGGCTCACTTCCCAAATTCATTTCCCCTGCAGCTCAGAGTTTTCCATAGTCTAAATAAACATCCTTAAAAATGAATAAAGATTAATAAACCCACCGTAAAAGTCACAAAAGCTTTCGAAAATTTCAGCCTCCGAATGTTTTGAATCATTTCAGTTGTTTCATTGTTTTCTGCCTTTAAAGCTTCTCTGAGTGTTACGTATAAGTAACACTGCCATTCATCGTTTATAGGAATTTATCTCTCATGATTTAAAGACAATGCGGCTGGTCATTTTATCACTTTTTAGCACGGAGTAAATACTTTCTTTAAAAATCGAATGTGAGCACGCTCATATATGAACAGAAAATATGAATTATGGATATCGTGCAAAAAAAGAGGGACTGTTGCCACCCTTTAAAAAAAACAAAACCTTTTTCTCTCCAACTGGGGAAAAAACAACTAAGACTCGACGTAACTGATCGTAACGCGCAAAGCGAGAGTTTGGGCCATAAAGCATGCTGCAAGGGGGGGGGGGGGGGGTATGATGGGGAATCACCACGCTGGGGATAATGTGGGGACATGGTAGCAGTGCAACGACTCCATCGAGACTAAACAGCTAGGGGAGAATTTGATCTGGATATGATCACCGGGACGCTCAGCGTTTTCAGTTCTATTGGCTTTTGAAAGTATGTGAATAACCCTGTCAGACTTCAAAGGATATCTGACGAGTTGCAGAACCTCGTTTTCACGTCATAAAGCTGAAATGTTTATATTGTTGTTGTTTGGGTGGGTTTTTTTGTTTTTTATGTTTTTTAATGTTTTTTGTTTAGAGGTGGTTTTGTTTGGATGGACTGTATTATTTATCAAAATACTTGATAAACCTATTACTCGCTCTTTTTTTTAGATCAATGTTTATAGTGTATGACGTGGCGTGACAAGTCCATTGCCCTTTTGGAAGACCTTCATTTACAATGCTTAGCTGGGAAATTCCACAAGATTTCAAGGGCAGTGGACTTTGCAGAGAAAACATAGGTGTGAAATGGGTTTCTTGAATTCACTCATGTTAGCAACAAAGAAAGGGATGGGTTCGAGGGGAGGAGGGGGAGGAGGGTTGGGGGATTGCAAAAAAAAGGGGGGGGGATGTTAATAAAAAATATGAAATCTGGACAGTATTCGTGTTTTCATGCGGACATTCACGTGTGTGTATTTGTGTGTGTGTATGTGTGTGTGTGTGT